TTTCACAAAGGTAGTTTTCCCAGTCCCGCCATCACCAACCAATATGAGTTTGAACTGAACTTGGGGCTCTCCTTGGGCAGCCATCGTGATGTTGCTTCCAGAAACGTCTCTGGGCCCATCTAACAATCTATTTTTAAAATGTTAACCTAGGGACATCCACAAGCAAAAAAAAAAAAAATCTAGACACAGACCTTATATCCTTCACAAAAATTTACTTGAAATAAATTATATATTTAAATATAAAATGCAAAACTATAGACCTCCTAGAAGATAACACAGGATAAAATCTAGATGACTTTGAGTATACTGATGACTTTAGATATAACACCAAAAGCACAACCCATGAAAGAAAATTTTGATAAACCATATTTTATTAAAAATTAAAAACTTCTGCTGTGTAAAAGGCATTGTCAGGAGAAATAGAAGACAAGCCACAGACCAGGAGAAAATATTTGCAAGAGACATATCTGATAAAACACTGTTATCCAACATGAACAGTAGGGAAGGGGAAAACAACTCTTTTTCCTCTACGCTCTTAGGTTCTGTGCCTGGGACCCTATTAAACTGACAAAAGATAGATTAATAATAGAAAACAAACAGTTTATTACCATGTGTGTCATGCTTGCACACAGGGGAAACTCAGGGATGAGTAAGTCAAAGGGACAGTTACAACCTGCGCCTTATCTAGCATCTTAATAAAGATGGTTGAAAACCTAATGCCCAAGGTGATGGTCTTAGGAGGTGGGGCTCTTGGGAGGTGATTGGGCCATGAGGGTGGAGCCCCTGTGAATGAGATCAGTGCCCTCGTAAAAGAGGCTCCAGAGAGCTCCCTCGCCCCTTCCACCATGCCAGGTTCCAGTGAAAGATTGGCAGACTGAAAACCAGGAGGAGGACTCTCAGCAGAACCTGACATTGGCACCCTGCTTTCAGACTTCCAGCCTCCAGAACTGTGAGAAATACATGTCTGTTGTTTATAAGCCGCCCTGTCTGTGGGATTTGGTAGCCTGAATGGACTAGGACACCCACTATCTTCTTTCCATTTAACGAAGTCCTATACACGGAAATAGGAAAGAGGTTTCAGAAATGTTAGCCAAGAAACAAAACAAATTATTTTGGTGATGTGATTATCTACTTAGAAACATCTACTCAGAAAACCCAAAGGAATATATAGAAAAAGTACTTGAATTATTTTTAAAACTTTAGCAAATTTGAAAACTGTAATATACAAAAGTCAATTACAAGACTTCTGCTTTTGCTTTAGATGCAGAAAGATGCAGCCCAACAAGAAAAACAGATAAAGCACAAAATCACCATTCTCCTTAAGCCCATCAGAGAACTAAAGGCCACAAGATAACCAACTAACTAGAAATCCAGAGAATAAGCCGTTCCAGGGAGGGTCAGAACCCTGGAACAGTCTTACGTATGTAAAAACATAGGAGGAAGAAATGCAATGCTGACCACAACACAGACAAGTAATAATTTGCTAAAACTGTAAAAAAAAAGAACTGCCAAAAGCGAAGCGTGTATTGCCATGTACATCTAGAAAGGCTGGGGCACCCTTCAAAGGGGCGTCTGCACTCACCTGCAAGGTCCTTGCTCTGGGCTTCCCTGGAGGCTCATGAGAAAGACTGGGTGGGAAAGAGATCAGAGAGCCCCCACTGCTGGTGCAGGGCAGGGGGAAACTTGCATCAGAGGATGCGGAGGAAACAGGCATAAAGCATCATCCAATTCCCTGAACCTGCTTTCATAGAAAGCTAAAGCCTTAAACCACAGGGGTTGGGTATTAAATACTCTAGCACAGAAACCTCAGTAGAGGTGATCATTGGCTGGGGGAAGTACCTGGAGGGAACTGGCTCTGAAGCCCCGCCCCCTCTCTCCTTCACCCTTCTCCCCTGTGAAGCAAAAGCTTTAAGCTACTGAGAGAGGAAGCAAAGCCACTCATCCACTGGGCATAGGCAAAGACACATTATGGAGGAGGGAAGGATCAAATAATAACCCTCTACCCCTTTAGGAGGGTCAGGAAGCTGTCTTGGGCCTACAATTCTAAGAGAATGAAGTAATCTTACTGCTAAGAGAAGAGCCAGAAATTTCCATCCATCTAACCAGATTTAAGGCAGAATTTGATGGCAAGAGGTCATTTCTAGTAACACGTTGTTGTGGGCTTTCTTCTTAGAGAACTTGACAAGCCGAATCTCACGTTTAAATGCAAGAAAAACCAGGAGGGGGTGCTATTAACATGTTATATAGCTAGAGAAATGCAGTGTGACAAAGGGAAGACAAATACAACAATGAAATAGGAGATCGGAAACGGATGAATGCATGAATGGAAGGAACTATGACAGAGCACAGGGGTGACTGCAGACCAGTGGAGATCCGCAGGACAACTGGTTATGTATAAAAAGAAAGAAAGAGATCAGATTCCTACCTCACACCACACACATCAATTCTAGATAGATTCAAAACTTAAAAATAAAAAGCAAAACTTTAAAACTACCAGCAGACAACATAGGAGAATAATTAAATTGTGGTATTTTCATGAGAGTGACTTATAGATGCAGATATCCATATCGAGTTCATTTATGAAGCATATGAGGTAATTAGGAAAACATAATGTTGTATGAAAAAGGCACATGCCAGGAGAAGGTATGCATAGCTCAGTAATACATTTAGTAACACGAAACCGTACATTTTGGCTCATATGCATGTGTTAAAGCTATAAAAAAATGTCTTTAATGTTCACCCAAAATTCAAGGTAATACTTATCTCTAAAGCAGCGGTTCTCAACCTGTGGGTCGCGACCCCTTTGGGGGTCGAACGACCCTTTCACAGGGGTCGCCTAAGACCATCGGAAAACAAAAAGATATTTACATGACGATTCATAACAGTAGCAAAATTACAGTTATAGAGTAGCAATGAAAATAATTTTATGGTTGGGGGTCACCACAACATGAGGAACTGGATTAAGGGGTCGCGGCATGAGGAAGGTTGAGAACCGCTGCTCTAGAGGATGGGGTAGGCAGCGCTGGGGTTGAGGAGAGGCAGGGAAAAAGGAAAGGTTCACAGAAGGATTGTGGGAAAGGCAAAGGGACCCCAGGAGAGTAGCAGACTTCCAGCGGTGTGGAGGTGATGGGGACAGTTGTCGCCAGTCAAAAGAGGGGCATTGCCCCCTTGAAAGGACATCAGGAGGACCTCCTGTCCCTTTTTTCTCACCTCCCTTCTTTCACCCAAACTCTAGAAAGGTTATAAATCATAAGCTAGAAGGGAGGAGGCTATGAACCAGAAAATAATAAGAATGTGATACACTCGCTCTCTCCACGCTCCAGGCGTCCCAGTTTGGGTCAGGTTCCCAATAGAGGTCGGGAAACAAGTTTAAATTGGATAAGCATCTGACGTTTTTTAAAGCACTAGACAGCAACGGAGTCAGGTGATCACTGAGTCATGTGATTATTCGTTTTCTTAAGCCAAGGAAATATTTACTTACTCTCTAAGGGAAAAGCTATGGGGCTTGCCTGACACTTCATCTAGAGGTAGTAAAGGAAGTAAGTCCACAAAAGGGAGTTGAAGAGACATAGTAGGAAGGAAAATAAAGTGGGTTTCTCTAGCTTATTTAGTAGACAAATTACGCATAAATCAATCCAGTTGTTCGCCTATTTAGAAGCCTTTGATGCCTCCTCCTTTCTTGGAATAACACCCAAATTCCTTACTGGGACTCAGAGGCCCTGCCTGACCTGACTCCACTCTCTTGAATGGCTGACTTTCCTCCGTTGTTCACGACCCTGAAGTCCCTCTGGGTTTCTTTTGGTTTCTCAAACACACATCATGCTTTTTGGCATGGGGGGCCTTACCCATGCTGTTCTCTCAGCCTGGAACCTTTCCTCTGCCCGACTCCTTCCTTCATCCTCACCCTTCCGGTCTCATCACGAGCATTTCTGCCCTGAGAAACCCTCCAAGATCCTCCAAACAAAGGCCCATCAACCACCAGGAAAACACTCTCTCAATGCTCCATGCGTTTCTGTTGTAGACTTATGGCAACTGTAATTACATATTTGTCTACTTCTGGTGCTAAAGTACACAGTCAAGGGCTGTCTTCCTCACCATTCCTCACAGTGCCTTGCACACTAAGTGCTAAGTAATTGTTTGTGGAAGAGATGAATGAAGGGCTCGCTGTGACTTATCCTCCCACTATCTGGATATCTGCCTTTGGCCTGTTGCTGACCTCATATCTTTGGGCTCCCAAACCCTTGACCCGCCCAGCTGCAGTGCCGCTTGCCTCCAGTTCTCTGATCCTGGCTTTTTGCTCCCAGTTCCTGCCTTGGCTTTGCCTGTTTCCCAGTTTCTGTGCAAGTAGAGCAAAGTTACTGCCTCTGATCCCAGAATGTGCTGGTCTGGTTCTCAAATAATATTCTCTGATCCTTAAGAGAATTTGCACATGATTTAAAAAATAATTAGGTTATAAGAAGTGATTAATTTTCGGATGGTATGAATATATTAATTTTTAAAAAAGTGCTTCTATATGTTTTCTACAAGGACATACCTATAGTATAAATGTGAACTAACTGACCTGGAATGCCACACATACACAAGCCATTGAAAATAAAAAAGTTGCAGAAAGCATGGATACTTTTCTTAGAGACAGAAAATTCTACAGTCCTCATGGAAAAAAAAAAAACTACTGCCAGCATTTGTTACGTCTGACTCCAGTCTTCACGTCCACCTCCACCTGAGCTGCCCAGCAGTGCATGGGGTTGCTGGCTATGGGACGGGGTATGTCCCGACAGCCCCATTCATATGTAAGAAACAGATTTCAACCTGGTGGAATAGGCCCCGCCATATTTGGAAATGGGTGAGTTTCTAGTAATCTGAAATTGTTCCTTTTCTGGTTGTTAGATTTGGAGGGATTGTAGAATTAATCATGTTTTTCAAAGACACTACTTAGGCCTTAAAGAGAGCTTTAAGAGTCATTGGCTCTTGCCAGTGTCTTAGAAGTAAGCATTCCTGAGAATTCTGCATACCTGTCACACAGTATTTCATGCAAGATAGCCTCCACTACATTAGATGTGTTTGTTTTTAGGACATACAAGAAGTGCCATGTGAGTGAACGCTGGATAAGCAGTATCCAGTGTAGCCCAGAACACGTTTATACTCAAGATGGCAAACATACATTTCTAGAGCTTTGCCTGATGGTGCTGATATACCTGGCCCCAATTTCCTGATATTGTGACATCATGGAGTCTCCAAATATATTTGGCCTTGTGAGGTGTGAAAAAAAGAACTTACTCTATTTGACCAAGAATATTCCTCAAAAAAGTAGGCTCAAAATGTAGACTCTAGAAACCAGTTTGCCATCTAAATAAATGTGAGGCAAATCGGTACCTACTTGGAGTGTATCACTTTTCCCAAGTGGATGTTGTTGAATCTCTTGGTGTATCTGCTTTCCTCAGGTTCATTCTCGGGTACATATGCATAAAAGATCATTTCATTTAAGGTGATATACTGCAGAGCAAGTGCAGCCTCAAAGCCCATATCAGGAGCCTGGAGGAGGAAAAAAGTATATTGCATTTATATGCACTTTTTAGATTTGAAATATGACAAAATGCAAATAACAGATTTATTTCCAGTTCACATCAAAACGATACTGGCTGTTTATCAGTAGGAGTAATATCTCAATGTATTTGAATATCCATGTGCATGCGAGGGACAGTGTATTTTTCTGTTGAGGAGGAAAGGAAATTCTGAGGAGAGAGATTTACTTTAAGATTCCTGTGCCCTTTGTAAGAGGCTGGGGCGGAAGGGTGTATGGGGACTTGGGTGTCTTCTGCTGTGTGTGTGTATGTGTGTGGGGGAGTCTGGGGGTGCAGATTTTAAACTCGGTTCTCATTTAGAGTTTTATTTAGGAAAGGAGCTGTGAAGTACCTCTCTTCATTGGAAAGCTGCTGCTCCCAGTCCCATGACAGTGACTGTCCAGCTACTGTCTGAGTTCCCAACTCTGGTGGCCTATACTCTTCTCACTTCCTCCGGTTCACAAGGCTCTCCCTTGCAGCCAGCACAGGCACCCGCGGCCCAGATTTCTGGGCCATTGGTCTTCTTTCTAACACGCCCTTCTCCCATCCTGATCCTGTCACTTTGGGAACTTTTAAGGGGTGAGAAGAGAGGTGGAGACCATCCCCCAAAGGGATGTTGGAGCTAAGCTTGTTGCTATGAGATGAGGAGAGGAGATGAGATAGTGCAGGCTGGGTGGGGGCATAGCCATCACAGAATGGCTCTAAGACCCATTTTCTGTTATGCCTTTTCCCTTAGTCTCTTCAATTTGGGGACCCACTGAGAAGGGAAGAGAGTGGGAAACAGATGCAAGGAGAATAAACGTGGGACTGAACAGATGGCTTCAGGACTCTGAAAAGGCTGAAAATGCTTTAGAATTCTGTATGACTTTCTAGCCTGGGGGTGCCAAGAATATCCCATGAAAAGTGTGTGCAAGTCCAGGGGAAGGCAGCATGGTGACTAAACAGTACAATGGAGGCCCTGGGACCCGTGGCCTGGATAGATGTCTGAGTCCAGTGACTAACGAGTGATAGAGGTGATTTGGGGTACATTATTTAGCTTTGCTGTGCCTGACTTCCTTATTGGTAAAATGAAGATACATAGTTGACACAAAGATTAAGAGCTCACAACAGTGTCTGGCACATAGTCAGTCAAACAAAGGCTAGTGATGATTTTTATCCAGACAGGACGCATGCGTAGTTTGTTTGGGGGAAGGGAGATGATAATATTGAGTGTGAGTTCCTGGAACTCATCCTGAGTATAAAAACCTCTATCGGCTTTTGATTTTCATAATTTAAACTCTCATGTAAAAGACTAAGCTGTTTCCTACAAATTGTGAAGTGAGTATAAAATCATGGTAACTGCTTTTCTGGTTAGTTCTACCTTCCCATTCACGTCATTGGATTTATATCTATGCAGAGCTCACACCAGAGACTGGCAAACACACAGGGAGTCACATGGTGGCATCTTACTGTCACAAGGAAATTCCCACCTCACTTTCTGTGAATATCTCAGACAGAAGAAACGAAAACACCATCCTCTCAGTTGCCATCTTGGCCTGGTGATTTGGAATGTTCTAATACAATGAGGCATCTTTTTTCTGTTTCCTTTAGGCCAAAGGGCAGGTTTTATTAAACCCCAGTCAAAAAATGTGTTTGATTCTTTACCAGTGTATTGATGAGAGTCCAATTTCATGACTGCCCACCCAAGGATGAGTTCTTAGGCACATGTGCCTTCACAAGTAGTACATTATATATGAAAATGATTTTTAAAAATCTATATGTAGTATCATCTGTGAAAAAGATAATAACTTCTTCCTATGTTACCACTAGAAAAGGAATAAATGAGGGTGGCAGGGTTAACATAAAGAAAGAGGGTAAGCCAGTATGAAAAACAGAACTCGTGTTTCTCCCAGGTCAATCTCAGGAGGTAGAGCATCAAACCCGCCATAATCCTGGGTTGGCAGGAATGGGTCTAGCTTGGAATAACTGGTGGGGTTTTGCTGTGAAGATATTTGTATGAAGATACTCTGGGTGGAGTTAAATCTCTATAACCCGGTCTGGCACTTGGAAGGTTTGAGAGGTGCTCTCTGGTATACGGAGGTTTTTCTTTTAGTCAAATAGAGCTAAGTGCCTTAAGAAGAGTTTGTCCTAAGAGACATACTTTTCCATTATTCTGTGTATACAACGTGGCATCTATTCTTAAAACAAGGCAAACTATTTCAATGCATTATATCACTGACCTGTCCAAAAATACCTTTAGAATTCCCAGAGGCTGCAAGTGACTTGCCAGCTTCAGAGCCACCTGGGGTCAGTTTATGTATGAACCCCATGTGGTCATAGTACAGTGTGAAGATTTTATCAGTAACAGATCCAATTTCAGTGTATCTTTGTAATCCTATCAGGAAAGAAACAGAGGTCTCTTGGTAATTGATATCACACAACTAGAGAACTTTTAATACGATCCCCTGTAAAACCTCATTCATTTACGCTAGCAGAGACCACTGATGCCTAAACTACAGTAGGATTAATATGTTGGCCCAAATGTGGCGTTCTGTGTTCCTCTCATGCCTTAGGGCAGCACGGTGAGAGGTTCTGGGAGGACTCTGGTAGGACAGCAGCATTCACTTAACCAAACAAACACAGGCTCAGAGAAAGAGAAAGCCTCCTGAATGGAGGATGGGGCCAGAGTGCAAGCTCAGGTCTCAATACAGAAAAGGCTGATTTCTACACACACCGCCCGCCCCACCCACCAACATGCCCTAGTCCAGCATGGCTCTCCCAAGAGGTGCATTCTCCCGTTTCTGACCCCTAAACACTGGAGTGCCCCAGCTCTCAGTTCTTATATCTCTTCTCTCATTATCTCTGGAGAGCGCGTCCAGTTTTAGGATTTAAAATTCGTCTTTATGTGGGTGATTCCGAATTTAAACCTCCCATCTCATTCTCTTCCCTGCACTCCAGACGTACATATCCAGCTGCCTATTGACAGCTCCAGATCCATGTCAGTCGGGCATCGCAAACTGTGGACTCATCCTAACACTCTCTCCGACCTCCTCCATCCTTAGCCTTCCTCGTCCCATTAACGGCAACTGCAGCATTCCTGCTGCTCAGTCCAAAATCCCCGGTGTCATCCTTAATTTCTCTCTCTCCCTCACACCCTATACCTAATCCATCAGCAAATCCTACTGACTTTAGCCTCGGAATATACATAGAACCCAACCACTTCTCATCACTTCTACTGCTGTCACTCTCTACAAGCCAGTATGATATATAGGAAGAGGCTTATTATGAGGAATTAGCTCATGCAATTATGGAGACTGAGAAGCGCTATAATCTGCCTTCCGTAAGCAAGGTGACCTGATGGTATAACTCCCAGTCAGAGGCCAGAGGCCTGAGAACTGGGGGACCACTGATGTAAGTCCCCATCCAAGGGCAGGAGAAGACCAATGTCCCGGGCCAAGAAGACAGACAGGAAGCCAAAGGGGCGAATTCCTCTTTCTTCCATCTTTTTGTTCTACTCAGGTCTTCAAAGGACTGTTTTATGCCCACCTGCATTGGGCAGGGCCGTCTACTTGACTGTGTCTAACATTCAAACGCTAATCTCACCCAGAAACATCCTCACAGACACACCCAGAAATAATGTTTAATCTGGGTACCCCTTGGCCCAGTCAAATTGACACATAAAATTAACCATTACAGTTGCTAAGGTTCAATATGCCATATTTCATCTATAAACATAACATATTTTTTCACATTTTAACATCTTGTAAATTGAGACACATTTTATAATTGATTGTGTCTTACAATCATTGTCCGCCAGGTGGCACTCACGCCATAGTGGTCAACTGGCTACAACCTTGTGTGTGTCATCTCAGCTCTTTATGTTGCCATGATGTTGAGTTTCCTGAATCACTGGTGTAGGACATACTGAGTTTTACTGCTGCTTAAAATGCCTTCAAAAATATTACATTATAATTAGGCATTGAAACAGTTATTGTGGGTGCAGCAAGAGAGGAAAACAGCAGGGCTCATATTTGTCAATTAAGCAAAATGGGACCGGAAGAATTATCACAATTTCAAATTTTCTTTTAGAACCACTACCAAGTACTTTCCAGGACATAAGAAAGGGAGAAACCCACAAGTAGAGGAAATTGCATTCTTTTGTTACTGAGATAACATGCAAAATTTGCCTTATCACGCGCCAACCAGTGCAACTACAGGCAGGGAGACAATGTCAGAGGAATCCATGCGTCATTGGCCAGGAGCACTGTTAAAACACTGTGTTCAAGTTCAATTGGGAGAGTTTTTCTTTTTTTGTGTTAATAGAGCAAGATGCATCTTATAATCAATGAACCTCAGATTTGATGAACTATTGTGTTTATAACATTCTTCTACTGGCTTTGCATACTCACCGGGATGTAAAGTACAGCATAAGGAATACAATAGTCAACAATATTGTAATAGTTATGTATGATGTCAGGTGGGTACTAGACTTATTGGGGTGATCACTTTGTAAGTTATTTAAATGTCTAGTTACTATGTCTTATACCTGAAACTAATATTAATATTATATGTCAGCTGTAATTGAAAAAAAATATTTAATTAAAAAAAAAAGGCTGGGAAGAAAACTGATTTACATTTTTTAATTTCAAATAATTCAGAAGTGTTTTTGCTTTCATTATTGGTTTTGATTTTGGTTTAAAATATTAACGTCTTATTATCAATTCTTGGTTTCCTTTATTTGCCTTATTTTCAGTATTTATTCACATCAAAAGGCTACAGAGTGCCAGGAAGTATAGATAACAGAGAGAAACACAGAGCCACTACCTGTGTTCATTGCTGGAAATTCCTATGACTTGCAGCTTCTCAATCATCAGCATCTATAGTGGTCATTTTTTTTTTTTTAGCTGAGCCATCCTGCCACCTGTTGGCAGCTCAGCTCGGGCCGGGGATCGAACCGGTGACCCTTTTGCTCAGAGCTCACACTCTTGAGCGAGCTCTTAACCAACTGAGTCACTCGGCCGACCCTTATAGTTGTCATTTTTGGTTCTTTCCACTTATTTATTCATTCTACACATGGACATGTTTTTAGAATTTATAGCTATAATTTGTAACAGTTTAGAATTTATATTGCCAACTTAGATCAGTTTTCTTACGTGTTAATTATTTTTACTGTTTCTAAAGTCCTCTTCCTTAGTATATTTTGATTTTTGTTTCACACTATGTGATGTCTATTCTCTATTTTCCCATGTCTTCAGAGCTATTCTCAGGCTTTCTCCTTCATGTCTGGTGCGCTGGAAGGCTAACCCCTATGAATTGCGATACTTTCCTGCTAGCTTCTGATTGGGTTTGGCCAACAAAAGGCACTAACAGGAGATAAGAAGAAAGAAAGGAGGGAGAAGCCTGTCTATCTATCTATCATCTATTTATCTATCTATCATCTATCTATTTGTATTACCCCTTTAATCAATGGGACTGTAATGACTTTCTTCCAGTGTCTCTGGATATTTTACTATCATTTTTGGTTCATTAACTCTGTCCACTGCTCTACAAATAGTCCACTCTTCAGGTGAAACACTTGAGTGGAATAATATTTCCTGCCAGGTCCATAACTGATAAGGTATTTTTACCAGAAATGTCCCTAAACACAGACTATCAAAGTGGGATTCTGGGATCGAGTCACATATTTAAGGAATGCAGAGACGACCTCTTCTGTCGGGTAGATATTGTGACACTGGCGGTGCCTAGCAAGCAAAGGCATCACAATTACTCAGATTAGTACTGGTGGTAGCATGGGATGGAGTGCTTGTGGAGGGCAAGACTTTAGGGGATGAGATAGGGTGGCTGTACTTGATTACAATGACAATCATGATTTTCTACAAAGATTGTAAAGATTGTGGGGTGGTATGACTTTTATGGACATATTGGAGAGCTTACAAAAAAAAAAAGAAAAAAAGAAAACAAGCTTATGGCCTTCAATACCCAACTCAAGGCAACAGTAGAGAACCTCACGGCTCTACAGGGGAAAAATAAACATTACCTCGTACCATACACACAAAATTAGAAGTTTTATATAGACCTATACAAGAAATCTAAAACAATGCACCTGATAGAGGAAAACAAGAGACTCTCTTCATAACTTTCGAATAAGCAAACATTTCTTAACATGATATAGAAAGCAAGAAGCACTGACCACAAAAGAAAAGACTGATACATTTAACTTTTTAAAATTGATAATTTTGCCCATCAAAAGACACCATGAAGAGAATAAAAAAGACAAGCAACTGGTTGGGAAAAGATGTTTTGCAAGTCATATTTCTAAGAAAGGACTCCTATCCATAATACATGAAAACTCACAGAAATCAAAAAGCAAAAGTCAATCCAATTAAAACTTGATTTAAAAGACTTGAATAACTTACAAAAAAAGATACAAAATTGGCCAATGAACATATAAAAGTGTGCTCAACATTATTTCTCATGTAAACTAAGTCTTCGGTGAGATACCATTACATACTCACCATCATGGCTTCCTATTTAAAACACTAACAATACTAAGCGCTGAGAAGAGAGAGCAGCTGGGATTCCTTCATATTACTGTTAGGACAGTAAATTGATCAAATCACTTTCAAAAACTGTTGGAAGCACTTAATTTTTTCCCCAATAAATAGAGATTTATTGTTTAAAGGGTATAGAATTTCAGTTTTACAAGGTAGAAAGAATTCTGGAGATGGATCGTGTAAGGGTCACAGAACATTTTGAAAGTCTTTAATACCACCAAGCTGTACACTCTAAAATGGTTAAGATAGTAAATGTTATGTTATGTGCATTTTACCACAATTAAAAATATTTTTACAAATCTATCACCCCTAATAAGTTTGAGACTTTAGGATTAGTTGATTAATATGGCAGATTTGTTTTCATGTATCTTCTAACCCCTGGCTCACATAGAGTGCTCATACTAATAAAAGTGAATTCCTCACCTGCTTTCGTCAAGTAAACCTTTCCACTCTGGGAAACAAAAGTAATATCAGAAGTATAAAAACTATGATAAGTATGCTTTATGATATCATCATGAAAGTCAGCCAATAATTCAAAAGTGTTGCCACCATCAATTGAAAGCCATACCTAAGGGAGTAAAAGCATAACACCTCATTAAACAGCTGCCATGTAACAGCAATTACCTATCAGCCTAATCTTCCTACATAAGAAAATTCATGCAGCATAGTCTTCTCCATACTCCCACATCTATATCTCTCTGTGTCTCTCTCTGTCTCTGTTTCTCTCTCTCTCTCTCT